TTATATTATTTAAACTTGGATTAATTTTGAGTTGAATATTTATTCTCTGAAGAGGCGGCTTACACTGAGTCACGAAACGTCAGAAAATGTAATTTCTCTATTCATTGAGATATTACAAATATATTATATTTATTTATAACCATCTACCCAATGCTTGATTTATTCGAAATTATCAAATCAAACCTTGGTAACGATATCTACAAATATGGGTTGATATTTATTTTTCAAAATAATCAATAATCAATGCATTGTATAGCTCCATATTCTTTCCTACTTTTTAAAATGAACAGTTATAATCCTCTAGTGAAGAAAAATGTCTTATCAGAATAAGTCATTTTTCATGAATGATTGAAATTTATTAAAATATCAGTGGAAAAACAGTAACAACTGGTCAAATATATTCATTCTAGTCTTGGAGTTGACAGTAGAGTACACATTGTTTCAAATGTTCGTTATTCAACTAATAGCTGTTAAATCTGAACGAAGAATAAATGAATGGTAACCTTTTGGATTTATTCGTGGACTATTATCACATATATTCTCATTGGATAATTATTAAGTAATTTGAATATATATATATATATATTCTTTTATCATAAGCTTTCATTTGACTTATTGGCTAATGTCATACGATTTAGCATGCTTAATTTATTCCCAGTTTATTAGCTACAGTCTTCCACACAACCACTTTTGGCTTGATCTTGTAATAATAGTCGTTTTATATTTTATGGTATGATGCGATCCGATTTGCTTGTATATAAACCAAGTATGTCTAAAATGTACGATTCTTATAGCAGAGGTTGATATTTGTATTTTGGACTGAAGGGGTTGAACTAGACAAGAAGCTGATGTACAGAGGACCAATAAAGGATTCAGAGTTGACTCAAGGTTGCTTTTTCTGGTTGACATGTCATTGGTTTAGCACAGGGGCGAGGTTATATAAGTCGGTTTTCTGATTAACAATCTTGTCACGTGATATTTGATGCACCACTGGACATAAATATAACCTCCAGGTATCTCAAGTTATTCAATGACTCTATACCACTGAATTTATATTGACCGGTTAATTTTGTTCATTATACGTCGTTTGTAATTATAAAGCAATTGAGTTGTTAAATATAAGGAAGACATGGTATATACGGAAATCGTGTTGTTTTATTGCATTCTTTTCAGTCAATTAAATAACTTCTATATAGCGAAAGCAATAAATATCGATCATTGTATTTTCGTCTAAAGGGTGATTAAAATCGGGGAAAATGCTAAATGATGAGTCAATCTAAGCTAGACCACTACTAAAATCCTGGGATCACTAAATGGCTGTTTCGTCCTAATATGAAACTCCTCAGGATAATTAAAGAAATCACAAGTATAATATTCATGATTTATTGATAAAACTTTGTGGATGTTTTTTTAATTATACTTTTACAAGTGTAACAATTAATCCTGAATGATATATTGTACTTATAAAAGGAATTTTAAGCTGTTTATTTGCAAATTTCTCAGCTAAACTACATCACCAGTTGATGTAGAAAAAATCTGTGATATGCAAAGATATAGAAGTAAGTATTTCAAGATATCATGTAATGTTTTCAACTAGGTTGTTGTGACCTTATGACCCACTAGTTATCACGTATTGTATTTTGCCAATCGAAATACGACTTATTCACTCTTGTAATGTGCTAAACCAATGACGTCCGACAGGTTTGATCAGCCTAGCGTCCTACTGGTCCGTTGCTCGTCTAGCCCGTCCAGCTGAGTCCAGAATTCCAATAACAGCCTCCACTATACGAATCATCTATCTCAGACATACTGGGTTTGTATGTCAAACAAACAGACCGCAATGCATCATAAAATAAGAAATAACATTCATACACAATAAAGCCAAGAATTGGCTATGAACATGGGAGATAGTAAATAACTAAACTGAGTATAACTTATGAACAATAAATCGTATAATAATAGTCTATCAGTCAAAATGAAGCTTATAATAAGGGGAATATAGATATATACAATCTAGTTACTGAATAGTTATACCATAAGAATATATAAATAATATTAGTCCATTAATAGGTCTGAGAAGTTATTCGTAATTTAATCTTCGCTAGGATATAACATAGGTGAAGTATATTCTTTTTTTCTATTCACATTGATATTCACTACATCTATTCTTATCAGTTTAACACGAATAACAACCTATCGTCATTCAGACAGTAGGCTCTTGAGCAAGATATTACCAAATGGATTGAGTATATGATCATCCTAATAACTTCAGTTAAATTTTTAATCATGAATTTATCATTGTCTGTTAATAAGCAATTGTATTGTATATCAAAACATTCTGTACGATCTCATCTAGCCAAACCGATGAACAAAAATTCAGTTGGGTATACTGGCATCAAAAATGAAAATACAATTAGTTGAACAAATTTAAAAAAAAAAAACAATCGACAAATTAATCAAACATATTTATCAAGTATTAGTAATGATTTATACTTCCCTATTGTTGATATTCAGACTCTATCACAATATTGTTGACCCTGAGCAGGTTACTTTATTATAGTGTTATGTAACAAGTTTTAGTATATTTGAAATGTGGTTAGCGGTGGAATTCAAGACGCTTGTATTATCTGGATGTACCTCTATCTATGTGTTGATGTTTCCACCAGGATTTAAATACTGCTCTTTTCATTCCAGATGCAAACGAATTATTTACCATACTATGAGTCCAGACAGTCACCATCTTGTTTAGAAGGTATAAATTTGTTAATGAGAGTCTGAGTATTCAGGACATTAACTGATCACTATCACTTGCTATAGGTTCTACCACTAATCTCTTCATACCCGTGGCTATCCGAACTTGGTGGCTCAAGGGATAATGCGTTAGTGTTTGAAATGAAAGTTACTGGGTTCAAATCTCATGTAAACAATGATTACTGGGCCTTAGGTAATGAGTCTCAAATAGAACGAAACTAGCATCTTAGATTTCGCCTCTGTCCATATATCTAATGTACTCATGGTGTTCAGAATCAATTTGCTAATGAATAGAAGACAAAAAGCTTGACAGTAATATATATCAACTCAAGCTATCACACCATTCAACAGTACATTAAAAGACAGGAAATTATGAAGACAGAAGTCTTTAAGAAGACATATTATAAATTCCATCAAAGGATTAAATAAAATATATGAAAATTACGGAATGTCACAAAACTTATAATATAGAACCATATAATTTGACGTATCCAGAACGCGGATTATATCGTAATATTTAAACTATGAGTTTCTTCCTACAAGTGATGGCTTACTTCTATAAAGTGCATTGAACACATCTCTTTGCTAGGCTTTTAATTCAACCTACACTTAAAATAGCAAAAGTACGTAGTAAATGTTTATATGTAACAAATGTCATAAAAACCAAACAATCATTAGTATTTATGACTTCATTACTCAAATGATCATTTATTCTTAAGGCCTTATACCTTATAACAACGAAGGATAGAAGTATGTTTTATTATTTAATCCCATAGATCTTTAAGGATTGTGAATACAAGTAAGCAAATAACAAATTATTCAGCCGATTTATGGTATCATTATTTAGTCAATTTTTATTGCTTTAAAATATTTGTGTAGACAGTGTTATGAGTTAAGAAGGTAGTGATTGATTGAATGAAAGAATTTTATCCTTTGTGAATACTTTTTCTTAGATAATATCATACTATAATACCTGATGAAAAACGTGATGTACAGATGCATAGTTCTATTTCTCTGAGTACCTTAAGTGTTCATGAAACCAGTCTAATGTCCTTATTTAAATATACATTGTATTACTAGTAAGTATTAGTCTTCAGTAGTGAAGATAGAAGGTCAAATGATCTATGTTATTCCTTGAACTTTGTAGTGCTGTTAAAGTCAAATCGTTCTTTGACGTACATGGTGTTGACATTATGAATTTTGGTAGAGAATCCCAGTTAGTCACAAATGGATGTCAGAAATGCAAGCCAAGGCATAAATGATTTGATACTAGTTTTTGAACTCCTAGATATTAAAAAAATACAAAAAGGTTTGATACCAAAATCATCGTTCAGAATACGTTTATCCAATATTAAATCTCCTATTAGACTATAATAAGATATTTGAAACAAGTTAAGATGTCTCAGTCTACTTTCATTCTACAGAATAGAAAAGCCTATCATCATTTTAATTCCTAACCGTTGGGCTCATTAAGACGTATCGGCGTCATATTTAAAGCGAAAGCTCGTAGCCTGAATTCCATATTTTCAATATGCTCATCACTATCGTTGTGTACGAGCCTCTATGCTTTAAATTCTTTACCCTAAGTAGTTTCATTTTATGACATTTCGGCGTAACATAATAACAGGAATAATTTAAATTATTTTGAATAATTGCTTGAATCTTCCCACTGACACTTAATACTGCATATAACATATATACATCCTGTGCGGATTGCCTCGATATTGCCAGTAAGTTACAAGCGTTTTATACAGAGAGGGATGGTAGTTGGCAGTAGAATGCAGGACACGCGTTTCATCCTGTTGGAAAGATCCAAACAACCAATATAAATGAACTTACATTAAAATCCATCCATTGCACAAGCATGTGCCTGTCTGGATTCAGTAGCTAAGTGGATAACGCAATGATATTTGAGGCGAAAGGTAGTTGGTTTCGAGTCCCTAAGCGAAAATCAGCTCTAGGATTCAGGTAAATCCGGCTAACGTGTCCAAATAAGGATGAAACACTCGTCTTGGATTTCACTGCGAATTACCATCCATCTCTGCTTAGAAAGCTTATGATAAGTTTTGCATAACATATTTAATATAGTGCGACGTTATTCAAGATCGACAACCTCTACTAACCATTAACACTCTTTGAGTTTAAAATAATATCATCTTTACAATACTTATAACAAATCTTTACTACGTTTGTTACTAATTTAAAAACTGTCAAAGTTCTGAATTAATAAATCTATAAATTAGGAGATGATTTTAATGACTAACCAATCAAAAAACCAAACAGTATTGATCGTTTAAGGTCAACCTAAATTAATTGACCAATAATAATAAGAAAGTAATTTATCCCAAATGTATATAGATATACAAATATATATATACCACATCTAAGTATGTATATATTTAATCAGTCACGTGTTTTACTCCAGTTCCTTCCAAAATAGCGTAGTTGGAATATCATGAATTTGATCCCAGCTTATATATATCTTTTGTTGATCATCTTTATAAACCATGTTTATTCAGCGCGACCACTTACACCTTATCAAAGAAGTAAGTAATCACTATTTTAAGATAAGAATAAATATTGACTAAATAGATTAAATTACATATTTTACATATAATACTGCATACGAAATTTTTAATTTATAATAGTTATAATAATCTTTATAGGGTTGTGGAGATTATTAAGTTATTGATCGAGATCATGAACCGATTGGTGTTAGACTATCATTGAAAATCTGAAAGCATCTGACGATCGTCTCGTCCTAGTCTGGGACTCTTCAGCAGTGCGCATCGACGATCCCGCTCGTGAGACTCGAACCCAGGGCCTTCAGTCTCACGTGCGAACGCTCAACCTACTAGACCACTGAGCCGGGCGGCCGGCATTCAATGATGTTAATGTTTAACCTCAACCAAATCACGAGACTGTGCAACCACTTCCCATTGTACTGAGGTAGATACAGGTATCTATTCAGGTTTTCAATGGTGGTCTAACATCAATCGATTCATGATCTCAATCAATAACAATTATAATAAACTGGGATTATCCACATTGTTTTCAGTGTTCAACACGTATATTTTCTAGTATTTTTGGTAAATTTTCCATTCATTTAGTGAATGTTCGCTTAATATCTGTGTGTAATTTTCATCAAAGATTTTATTTTAAGCGTCAAGTGTTATCTTTAATTGTCTGATATGAACATGACAGTGTAATGTAACCCGACATGTCAGTTGAAAAAAAAAAAAACAAATGTACTATAAATTAGGATTTGAAATGAAATCTATGAAAATTACATTCGAATATTCAGCATTTATTCATTAAATAAACTGTAAAAACGGATACAATATACTTACTGAACATTGAAAATGTTTAGAATAACTTCAACCATATTGGGATTTATATAAGCATGTTGAAATATTCATGTAGTAGTTCGATTCTGTTCAGAAGATAATTTGCGTACTCGGATGATACGCGGAGTACTATGAATAAGAAGAGTTGGAAAACTGAAGAACAAAAGGAAAGATGATTTGATGACCCAACAATAGCATACAATACATTTACATTTATTAAGGAAACTAATAAAGCAATAATTAGCAATAACAATCCGGGAATTAAAATTTGAAGCAGATAGTTTACACGATGTAGTCATTTTTAGGAAGAACAAGTTTCATCCAGTTACTGATTACATTAGTGGAAATATATCAATGGTACTATGAGATTTTTTGTGAGAATCAACTTGTGCATATTAATAAATCTCAATCATCATTTACTGAATAAAGCTTGTCTTGTCACTAATTTTCCTTAGTTTAACTGAATAACTAAACAAAGTTTATATTTTAATAGTTTTTTTTAAATCATGAATTGATCTTAGCTACAATATCATTGGAAATCAGAAACCACTCAACAACTACGGGACTCCTCAGCAGTATACATTCTCGACCTTGACACAGTGTCAAACCCCAAACCTCCGATATGGTTCGCGAATGCCTCATCACTGTTACACAACTATCTTGACCACTTTAACTACTCAGTCACATTGTAGTGAATAGGACACGACTGGGGACAACCGAATATATTTGGTAGGAAATTACAGAACTTGTTAATAAAATCTAACAACCATATAGTAAATGCTCAATTTGCAAAATAACCATCAATTGTCTCAAAATGACCCAGACTTTATTGTTCATGCATTTTCATACAAATTGCAGACTGTTTTTATTCTTTACTGTTCGATTCTTTTGTCTCTCTACTGTCAGACATTCTGTTCCTTACTAACGTCATATACTACTTATGTCAATATAAGTAGCACACACCACAATATTAGTTATCTTTTCAACAGTTAGTCAAGTATCCTGACAGTTTCACTGCTTGAAAACGCTAAGTACAAAGTTAAAATCACCAAATAATGATCTGTCAGAGTGAAAAAAACTGTAAATTTGTCACTAAGTATGTACTAGTCCATGTAATCGCATTCTACAATAGTATACATGAGATTTACAAGAAAACAATCAAATAGACAATAAATGAAAAATTACCTAACTAAAAATTATAAAACGATGTTGAATAACAAATTCTTCAAAGTGTAAGTAGGGACGTTAATGAATATTTGCCATGGATATTGCATGGAAGAAAATGTATCATTTATATTAATATCGAAGTTCCACTGAAAGAGTAATGACAATCAATTTATTTTAATTGTTATCTATCATAATTTCAGCTCAAAATACAATTTCATATTTATAGTAAAGTTGGATAGTGGATAGCAGTAAAATCTGGGACTCGCGTTTTGTCCTATTTTGAATAATTCACTTAGATACCCCTATATCCCTGTCTTAATTTTCACTCTGAAACTCGAATCAAGTAATTTTTACTTTAAGCTGTCTTCATGTTACCCACTGAGTTATCGAATCCAGAAAGCCACCAGCTTTTGCGATGGAAATAAACGATTACTCATTATTTGAAATGCCAAGGACTGAAATCGGTCTGTGTCTTTTGACATATGTTCATCCTGAATGAATGGCCTTGATATCATAAGGATTTGTATGAAATGATGAATAACAATTCATCTCCGATGCATAATCTACTGACCACCTGGACTCAGTATCTCAGTAGATAACATATTTAAGTTTGAAGTGAGCGGCATGGGATTCGAGTCCTGGATTGAACATCAACGCTGAAATAAAGCTACGTCCAGATGACCCTTTCTACGTTCCGACACCAGTTGCTACCCGACATGATTAAAAACGTGTTTTTATATGACACTATTGAGTCAACACGTTCAGGATGCAAATATGGCCACAAGAATCGTTCGATTCTAGCCCGTAACATCAACAAAGAAAAGAGACGAATCATTTACAATAGTAAATGATAATTCATATTTTATGTTTTAGCTGAAGGAATTTTCTAGAAACCTGGTTAATTTCTTGATTGCATTACTTAGAGATTGACCTGTTGAAAATTATCAGATCACTAAACAACTATATTCTCCCAGAATGAAACTTCTCAGCACGATATACCTGCTACTCAATGAGGAACCAACCCCAGGACCTTTATTTTTCCCAGAAAACTCTTAACCATTTAAACCACTGGGTCGGATTAAAATGGTATTGTTTTAACCTCAGTTTATTTTGTGATATCCAATACCACTCGAAAGAAAGGTATCAACAATAAGTAATCGAATTGAATTCATTAGATAAAATTTTCAGTATTTTTATACCATCATAATTTTACCTAATTTCTCTATTGAGAATAATTTTTTACCGTTAAATAAGAAATGGATAGTAAAGCATGAAATCTTATGTAGTTTTATTCGCTTCCTTACTTTTATTGTCATTATTATTATTATTAGCCGGTCATTAAGCTATGCCCTCAAGCAACGCCTTGATTACACGCTTTATGACTAATAAAAATGTTCCTCGGAAGATGTTCCATTATATAGGAATAAATTCATTAAGTTAGGAAGCGAATTATGATAAATATTACTCGGCCTAGATAATGATTATGTCCTTGAAGTTTTTTCAATAAACGGAATACACCCATTAAGATATTAAACAAGAAAGATTAGTTCAGCGAAGAGTTCTTTTTTTGGCAAATTCCTTTTCAAAGCTTTACAATCGCATATATATATATATATATATATATATATATATATATATATATATATATATATATATATATATATACTTGACCTTTTAGGATGATAATAATTACAATATTACTGATAATAAACTTCTGTTAGACATGGTGACGGTGAGGTAAAATAAATAAAGGTATTTTAGAAATTTTTTTAAATAAGGAAACTAATAATCAGAAGGGGTTTTGTGAAGATTTTAGTAATCTCAATAGTTGAAATCATGAGTCAATTGAGGCTAGACCACCATGGAAAATCTTGCAGGGGGCGGGATCGGTGATGCGCATTGCTGAAGAGTCCCATACTAGGACTAAACGGCCGTTCAGTGCTACCAGGTTTTTCATGGTGATCTGGCTTTAATTGGCTCATGTTTTCAACTATTGAAACTAATAATCGTTTGGTTGTTAATGGCTTAAATATTCATCAAAAGATAGATAGGAAAATTGGATGGCCCAGCATGATAAGATAAAATGTTGAAATTGAGATTAAATGTAATCCGGAAGATCGTAGAAACAGAAATAAACCAGTTGGGGGTAAAAGATTAAAGGGGAAGATGAAAGAGGAAGTGGGTGATTATAAAGGAAGAAGTGTATGAAAAATATCATAAGACATTAAAACCATAGTAGAAGACGTTATATTAATCTCTTTTGTACACACAATTCTAGTTTTCCCAGATGTATGGCTACAGCTTCGTCAATGCAACAAAGATGAAATATAGTTATTTTTGGTAGACTCCCACTTACCTTGTAGACGACTTTGAACACAGAGTCTGTTTTGATTGAGTGACCTGTGTTTACATGGTGTTTGATTATTGAACTTCTTATTGAGCCGTTTCCGTTTCTTAGCCACGCCGGATAATATTCTTGAATTCTTTTGGATAAAGTACGCATCGAACAACCTATATACCTGGCTCCATATGAGCAGGTAAACTAATATCATCTTGAAAAATAAGTATATATACATTTTCCATTGTACAGCTTTGAAAATAAATTCGCCGAAAAAAGAACTCTTTGCTGAACTAATCTCTCTTATTTAATAATTATGTTGTCAACAAGATTATTCAACAATTTTTCATAATCAATTCATTGTGTTTTGGTTATCAGAACGATTGCAAAAAAATTAAATAGTACCATTGTCGTTTTTGGGTGTCACTATACAGAACGTCTAAATAGTTAGAGTAGGAAAATATATGCTATCATCTTGGGGACGGAGATTGTTCTGCTCATTCCTCTCACATTCATTTCTTTCCTATTCAGTTTCTTCTTGTACACTATATTGTATCACCTACTAATATCTGGTAATCTCTTGTCAGTTGCTTTCCAGGGAATAACTCTATGTTACTACGTGTAATATATGACCAGAGAGGGTTTTATGAGTATTATAGTAACTTCAATAGTTCAGATCATGAGTCAATTGAAG